CTTTTATATGATCATTTTTAGTCAAAGATAATCTGATTTTTCTCCGTGTTCCCTCCGGATTTCGTTGCTATCTCCGACGTATGTCATTGATTCTGGTTTCAGCGAAAATGAGAGGTCGTCAGGGCTCACAGCGCACACACACTTGAGCGGCCAGAGAGAGCCGTATAATTATAATTGCTGATAAATGCTTCGTACTAATAAACACTTGGCACCAGGAGAGGCATATAGAGGAGGGTTCGTCAGATCGGGATTGGGATCGGGACGTGTGACGCTAATGACACTTGGCTCGTCGGGCAAAAATGAAATGATTTGTGTGAGAGATTGCATGCCGCGCAGTGATTTGTGATTTGTGTGTTGAGAAATGCAGTTTTAAACTGCAAAACTGCAAAACTGGCAGCTTGATAAGCTCCGCCACTGTCATCAGCAGCATACGGCACTTGATAGCTCTATTAATGGCACGCCACCATCGCGCCCTCTCTTTCTCTTTGGCATACGTCCATCTCTTTCTCGGATGCAGTTGAAAGACAGACCGAAATGAATGCGAAAATAATGAATAATAAAAGTCGGGAGTACATGGTTTTTAATGTTTCCTTGAGAATGAATAGCATTGAGGTTAAAGCGGGGACAGTTATTAAAAAAAAACTTATCTCTATAGAATTTTCTGTCTCTCTCTGATGCGGGCTTGCCATCTCATTCGCGGACTTATCACTTGATGGCTTGAGTGCTCGTCCGGCTGTGTCTAATTTATGCGACCGCCAGTGTGGCAGATCCATAACTATATTATGGCGATAAGTGTAAAGCTAGACAAATTTCAAGTCAAAAGCGACCACCCATGAAACACGATTCCCAGCGAAAAAGACGACTATACCAGGTGGGAAAGAGACGGCACGGAAGCTTGCATTTTGTTCGGGAGTTTTGAGCAACCCTCGAAGACTCTTTGGTGTTGCTTGTTTGTCAACTCCCGGCGACCTTCTGCCACATCATCCCAAAAAGAAGCAGAAAAATAAAAAAACAAAAATTTCAGAAACTCCCAATGCTGGTGTTGATGATTCCGTTGATGTGAGGGTTACCCCGGGAAGATCCCGGCCGGGAAATTCGATGCGCATTCTATTCATTGGCGTGTCGGCCCAGAAATATGATAATGTGTACGGAAAAAAAAGCAACAGTCAGTTCGTAAATTTTCATTGTAAAATAAGAACAAGTCCCGGCTGTACGTTCTGTCGCTTTTTAGGGGATGAAGATGTATTGCCTTTTGTGCCGTTTGACGTAATGTTACATAAGCTCTCTTTGGTCCTGGTCCCCCGACTATTGCCGTTTTTTCCCACTCCTCATTATGAAACATCGCATTTCTGTTTCAATTTTTACGAGTGCGAGTGCGAATCAACCCGAGCGGAATCCCAAAAGTGCAGCAGCTGGTCTGGCACGTTTTGCCGGATTCTAGGGGTTAGGGATCTCGATTCATATTCCTATTCCTTTTCCTATTCCGAAGAGATACCCCCGAACAGATATGGGCAATTTCTGCCATTTTATTCAAAGGTTTCGTTAATGCGTAAAATTTTAATTTCATTTTTTTGTCAATAGCTGTCTGCTTTGGGAACTTCGTGTCAGCGTTTTGACAAAAGAGTTAAAAAGTTGTGGGAACGATAAAAAGATGGATCAGCAAATGCTGGTTAGGTGTGAATTATGATTGGGTTGCATATGTATGTTGAGGGATACATTTGAATGATTGAGGGCATAAGAAACTTTACAGAACCTTGAGAAGTGAAAAGTAATTATAATTATACATATAACATGGTACAATTTTGAACACAATTTATTTAATATTTTCTTGATTTGTTCAAAATATAAAAATGCACTCCTAAAATTAGCATGAAGAATCCAAGAGAACCTCAAAGCGTGTTCACTTCATTTCCCAAACCAAAACAGACAATACAATTAAAAGAGGTGAGGAGTGAGTGAACCAAAAGTGAGGAAAATGCTTTCACATCACAAAAGACTCAGAAAACTCCCAAGGCGACTGGGTGAAATGCCTGAGAAAAACTGTCAACGCTGAGGGCACAAATGGAAATTGTCTAATTGTGCGTGGTAAGATAACAAAGCAGAGTTAGAGCTTCCTGTTATTGTTATTTCTCTTGTTGCTGTAAAACATTTGATCAATGTAAATAGGCTAGAACAACAGAGCGGCCAAAGATAATCGCCTTAGCACGGAAAAAAGTGCACTTCACACAAGGTCGGGTAGGATTTAGATGCCGCAGTGACAAAAACAAGCTGCCACATATAAAAATCGTTCCCCTTTGCCTGCCCTTTGGCGAGAATGTTTTAAAACTGTAACAATTGGCAATTGTGTGGGTCTTGTGGCTTGACGAACTTCCCGAGCGGAAAGGATAACACGCACTTTTCGACCCAACCCCCATGAAAGTTAATTTACGTCACGCAGCATTTTCAATCAATGTCGCTGGCGGAGGGTAGGGAAAATCAAGGGGTTGCTCTGCTCAACGACCCGCCGACCGACCGCCCGCCGCTTCTGTTTATTTTCGTTTCCAATTTTACTTCCCTGACCCCCGGACTGATCTCGTTTTGATTTGCATTTAAGCGCGACACTTGACGACTTGCCGTGTAAATAAACAGATTGGGCTTTAAATTTGGGTATCTTTGGCTCTTTAACGAGGCATTAGCTCGTCATCCTGAAATATTTTTTAATTGAAGTCTGGCTGAAGTTGATGAGGGTGATGTGTAATTAAAGGGTCTGTTAGTCTGACTTCTGCGGCTGTCAGTTGGAGTGGCCGGTTTTTATAGGGAAATCTATTGCCCCGCTTAGGATTCATCCGTATATATATAATTATACACCTTAAATATCTTTAAGGTCTGGGGAAACATTCCCCTACTGCCATGACCTCTCGCACAATTCGTGGAAATTTCAGGACGCGCATCCTTGTGCACTGAGCACTCTTCTTTTTTCCTTCCTTTTCATTGTGCTCTCGGCTGGGGCATGAAATTCCTGTCAAAATTGATAAAAATCACATTTTCCATTTGAATAACATTTTACGAATTCGTGCATAAAATTACGACAGAAAAATATTCCCTTCCCGCTACTCTTTTGCAGTGGAATTTCTGCAGCTCGAAGAATATATTCTTTGGCAACCGCATTCCGCCCTCCGTTGCCTTGTCTACTTAAAATGTGGAAAATATCTATTTGCTACGCCCGAAATACGCGACGCAAATTTCTCACAGACAGCAGGAGGAAAAAGCGAAGGGGGAGGGGCTGGCCATTTTCTTATCGCTGGAAAAACAAGAAGAAGCTGTGGCACAAAATTAACATGAACATTTTGCGCGCTGGTAGAAATTATTCAACTGTATATAATTTCCATTGAGTGCTCTACAGAGTGCACAACTTGAACTATGCCGAAATTTAATTTGTCTACAAAGTCAAGCGACGTGTAGATAAATCAATCAAAATGGCGCGCACTCACGACCACATACAAAATCTATATGTATATAGACATCGGCGGAGCAACTGGCACACAATCGTTAAAGTTGCTGTTCGGCGCGCTTTAAAGTTTTTCGAATTTGACGTCAACGTCAATGGATTGGCTGCGGAACGCCTCCTATACCCTCCAAAGCACTCTTCAAACCCCTTACCTTTCTTCTACACAGCAAACAATTAGGGGCTTTCGTGTCGGCTTACCTAACAAAATCTTGTATTTAATATTGTAAGCACTATACCTTAAATTTGTATCTATAATTGAGCTTAAAAAAGTGTTTAATAATTGAACTTATTTTATATTACAAGTCGTAGGTGCTTTAATTCTTAAGCCGTATTTTTTTCAGTGCTAAAATTCTTCTAGCAGTAAAACTGCATTATCACCTTGGGGCCCCCCACTCAATCTTCGGTTTTTTCTCCTTTATTTTTTTGAGAGCAGACAACGAGTGGCCCCAGAGTGTCTTTTTCGAGTGCTGTTTTGGCCAGGGCTTTTGTTTTTTTCGCTGCCGCCACACAAACAAAGGGGAAAACAACGCACTCGCGCTCTCTGAGGAAATAAAAAAACAACAACGAAAAAAAACAAAATATTATTTTTGCCTATCACCATAAATAATTCACCTGACTCCCCGTTCCCTCCGCCAGCACGAGATCTTCAAAAAGAAGCGCCAAGTGCAAAGTCAGTCGTACTCGAAAAAATATTGAAAAAGCAACAAGGAGTGCGGGGAAAATACTAAAAAATACACATAAAACTCTTTTCAAGTTGCAGGTTGAAGTGGAGTTTGGAGTGGAGAGTCCACAGCTCCGAGCAGCGAGTTCCAAGTTCCGATCTACAAGACAGGCAGTCTAGGGCCTCAAAACGCAAGATCTGAGGGCTGTCCCTAGGAAAAGTTGTTGCTCATGTGTGGTGTTGTTGCCTACTTGCTGTGGTTGTTGCCTTTGTTGTTGTTACTCTTTTGTCAAGTTGTTGTACGATTACGCTGCGAGCTTGTTCGAAAAGCTTTGGCGGCACTTGAAACTGAGGCAAACAACATAATCAAAAGAGGGAGACAGCCGCCTCAAGAGGTGTGAAGTGTGTAACACATTCGATAGGGATTAAGCCGATCGAAACAGGCTAGAATCAGCTTAAGTTCAAAGATATTCTCAATTTTAAAGCTTTGGAAATGTATGAGATTTTATGAACAAATTATAGCATTCAAAACAGTCTAGATAGTTGCCTATTAAAATATCCATATATGTAATAAATTAGTTTTAGAATACCTCTAGCCTCGCCCCTTCTTAACAATTTCTGTACAACTGAAACATTTAAATCCTTGTTTTAAATTTTTAATCCCTCAATTTAATTTCACAATCTCAATTAGAAATAAATGCGATACTGTCAAGTACCATCATGTTCAAAAGCATATCACATATAGAAAACCAATGATTTCAACCACACGTTTGCACTAAATAATCCGCTAAAATTCTAGTAATCATTATTAAACCCAAATAGTTGTTTTAAGAGAAGTTAGTGTAGACTTACCAGGGTCTGATGTATCTAGGGCAGGTGGCTGCTGTGACAGTGGACCGGGAGTACTACCAGCGCCCGGCGATCGGGCGTCATCGTTCATTGCGCCGCCGTAGGACAGCGATGAGCTCGGCGGCCGCTGCAAATATAAACACATACAAAACATAAATAAATAAATTCAGTACAAAATAGAGATAAAAGAGAGTGTGGTGGGGCATGTGTTAGCTGATTGTTAGAATTGATTACAAATTGGTTATAAATGTCGCTTTAAATTGACACGCCTGGCCATTAAATGAGCCCCAGACGGTATGGCCATGGCCAATGCCAAAGGCAGACATTGTCAGTCCGTCTTGTCCGGATTCTTCCGCCTCCTGGCCCGGCTATAACTCCCCTTTCCCGTATTCCCCACCCCTCCCCGATCCCCCCAGCCCCCACAGACTGTCTGCACGACTGTCAAGTTGTCAAAAGTGCCATGGCCTGGCCATATTGTGGACAAACAAATGTTCAAGATTGTCGTGGCCTAGGCCTAGAGCAAAATACAAAACCAAAGCCAAAACCAAAACCAAAACCAAACCAAACCAGACAACATCGTGTGCAGAAATAAATATAGCTAGATATATATATAAGTTATCAAATTAATATGCAGCGACTGGCTCTGGCTATCTGGCCGTCTTCTAACTAGGAGTAGAATCAACTCGTCTCCATCTCCATCATCATCAACATCGTCATCGGCAATGGACAACAAGCCGGCGACAACGATGGCATATTAAACGTTGCAAAAAAAAAAAAACGAGTAAAAAAACAAAACAGGGAAAAACTTATGCAGAAACCAAAAATGTCAACGTCCCAGGTATTCAGCGACCGCAGCGATCGAAATCGATCGAAGAGCAATTTAAATTCTGCTAATAACATATATACAAAACGCTTCGCATTAATTTCGTGCACGTGCAAGCTACAATTTTTAGCCATAAAATTATTATTTTCCCAAGCTCGTAAAAATTCTTGACTTTCGAATACAATAAATATGTGTATTTTGTCGCTTTTTTGATTCATTCCGAATTCGAGGCACACGTTGAATGTGTTTTCGCTAAATATTTGTTAAATCGCATATTAATAGCGCTCTGCTATAGATAATTTGTGGCTTGTTTGCGTATAATTGTTATGGTCGAAATTTGATTTGTTGGAATAGCTGGGGGATCATTGAACTGGAGGGATAAGAACAAGCATACGGAAGATAATCCCTAGTTTTAGTTAGATAAAGCGACTTGGCCAAGTTCCAATAAATTGGTACCTGCTTTTTGCCTACTTTCCATTTCAAACACACACGCTGCCACAAATCTATTAATAATTAGACAACGCCGTCTGCATTTTAAACACTCCAATCCCATCCCTCCACTTTATGAGCCATAAGGTGTCTCTTGATAGTCGCATAAACAATTTCCACCATAAACGGACGCGATAAAGCCCCTGGAACCGACTGCAATTGTAGCAATTGTCGTTGCTTTAATGGCTTATAAACAAAGACAAGGCACAATTGCTTTAGACTGACCGCCGGCCAAAACGAAACTATTTAATTAGCCAGCCGAAATCAAATAAAATGGCCATAAAAAGAGCTGGCCAAAAGAGTGAACAAAAATAACAACTTTCCCAACGAATCAGTGAAATTCGATAGGCTTGACGGTCTGGACCAAGTCTTCTGAACTTGCTCGCATCTTTCACACTTGCCGCACACTTTGCCGGAGTTCTATTTCATTTTTATACCATATTATTTTGGCGGCCTTTGAGCCCTGTGAAGGTGTCTCCGGTTACTGGGAGCTGAGAGCTCGGAACACGCCCGAGTGTTGGCCAAAATGCCAGGCGTGCTCCTTGAAGAGCCATCGAGCCATCGATGCGTGCTTTAATTACATTTTCAATTAGCCAACGGCCCGCTCCACAAATTAAGCTATCGAATTCCTTCGCATGTCCTGCGACAATTATTAACTAATATCGGTTTATATTCAAATGATGAGCGTCCATGCTGTGGGGACTGCTTTTAATATTAATGAAAGCGAATCGAGGGGGTTCACCCATCTAACCCCAATTCCATTTCCACGTCACGTAATGCTCCCGCATCGTGAAAAGTTTGTTTTTTTCGGGGGGAACGGCCCTTTGGGTGCATTAAAATGATCAAGAAACAATTTTCGTTTACCTGCCGGAGCTAAATTATTTATTTAACGCCCTCCCCCCGACCGCTCGACTTGCTAAATTTTTGATGATATCTGGAGTGGAGCAGCGACAATTGGGTGAGCGAGAGTGTAGATGGGCGACCGAGACAACAACCGCAAATTTCTAGGGCCAAGTGAGTCATAAAAAAAGTTACGACCAAACCCATCAAAGTTTACACTGAGAACTAGGCTTTATGTAACATTCAGAGGAATTTAAATTGTGCAGCATTTTTCTTATACGATTTCTAGGAGTGGTAATAAAGAGTTAAAAAATCAGATTACTTGAAGAGTCAGGAATACCGACTAATAAAATGGTTATGAAATAAATATATTAATTTTATGATGCATAAAGCAAAATTCGGATTTTGTTTTATGGAGATTGCTTATGTAGCTTGAACACACTTTTGCAAGCAATTCAAAACAAATATTCCTTTATCCATGCCATACAATAACCAGTGTAATGGCTCCTTTTTTCCCCGTGCATCATAAAAATTTGCTAAAGTATGGAAAAACTTTGCTGAATTGTTTTAGGCTTCGCTCACTTCATTACGCCGGTGAGAAGTTTGACTTGCGGTCAATCTGAGAACTTTCCGAGTGAGTTGACTAAGTCGGCTCAGCTGTGGGAGATAATTGCTGGTGAGAGGGTCGACGTCGAACAAATATCGACGCGTGACGTGCTGCGTTCCACCCAAAAGTCAAAACATGCAATTTCCATAGACCCCTGTAATTTGCCAGAAATCTCTGTCACAGCTCCTTGCCGGTTAATCACTACAATCAACAGTTTTGGAACCCAGCCCTCTTCAACCTAAGTCCCCCGAAAACTAAAGCAAAACAATCAAATTACGGTTCGTAACTCAGTTTTTGGTGCGTGGGAAGTTTTTCCCTTTCGGAATGGGCGTGGCACTAGCAGAGATTTCCCTCCCTTTTCCATCCAGCCGTAATTGCCCGGCGGCGCATATCCTGCAAATGACATTCGACAGAGGGTTTCTGGGGGTAAGTCGAAGCCTAACCCGCGGCCAAATTTGAGTCCGAATCTGGGTCTGCGTCTGGGATTAAGCCTATGCTTCAGGCTCATTTCACAATTAAAAATACAAACTACTGCTAAGCAGGGAATGGGTGGGGGATTCAAAAAGAAAAACAGTAATAATCATACACAGAAAACAAAACAAATTATAGTTTTAAAAACTGTCAGATATTTAATGAAACAATAAGCACACCTGGCAACACTGATTCTATGAAAAAATCAATGTGACCATGCACCCTGCAGAGATACAGGTTACTTAAAGAATTAGTCTATTGTAATGACGTTTTTTAAATAAATATCAAACTGAATCAATTAATGTTGATATTTATCCTGAGAACTTTTTTAATTTTTCCTCCGTGTGCGCTTGTCATGTTATTTGGTTTGATTTTGTTTACAGAACGCCCTGCCAAGTGGACGTGAAACATATTTTTTCTATTTGTCGGCAAACACTCAGGAACAAATTCTCTCCCCCATTTGATGAGCATATCCTTAGAGCAAATAATTAAATCCTTTCTACACGGCCGCTGCGAATGAAAGTTTTTCCGTGCGGTTTCTGGTTTCGCAGGATTTTCGGGAGATGGGAAATGCTCGATGTGGAAAAGTGAGTGGCAGCGAGTGGAGTGGAAGTTGAGCCCAAACCCCAATCCTCGGAACAATCCCTCCTGGCTGTTTGTTTTGATGGATTTGCCGTTGCTCTGGGGCAACAAAAGCTTTTGTTTGTCTGTTTGTGTCATGTTTGTTATTTTGGTTTTGGTTTAGGTTTTGGTTTTGGCTTTAGCCAGGCCCTCCAGCCGGATTTCTCGGGCTGAAGAGTCTTTGGCGTTGGGTTTCTGTTAGCAGGCTGCTTAATTAACGGTATATAACCACCCCCAACCCAAGTGTGTGTAAGTGTGTGCCACTTGAGCAGCAGCTGCTTCAGCTGTTGTTGGGCTCCACCCTTTTCCACTTTTCCCTGCTTTTTCCCGCTTTCCCCACCCACTTGCACCCACTTTTGCTGTTGCCACCTTTTGTGTATTTAATTGCGCGCATGGCATTTAATTGTTTTTCAAATTTGCTCAAGCTGTAAAAGCTGTTCATGTGTGTGAGCCATTTTGTTTGGGGGGTTGAATTTTTAATTAAGGCCGGTGGAGGTGCAAAACTCCTTGCAACAGCCCGAACAATTCAATATGGCTGACTGAAATCATTCCCCTTTTCTCCCCATTTAACCATCACTTTTGGCAGGCAAATTGCTTCGCCAAGAATTTTCCACATATGAGTAAATGTGTGTGCGAGGTATAATTTCAATCAAATGGCAAGTTAATTACACACAATTACTGTGCACACACAGACAGACAAAAGGGCTGGCATTGTTAAAGTTTGCTTGAAGTTTAGCAACATTTAAGGTATTAAGGTTTTAGCAGGAAATTTCACTGTGCCTTCCCAAGTTAAAAATTAAAAAAAACTCTACAGTAATCAGCACTTAAGTCATCGACTATCAGTGTTTTAATTAAACACCAATAATTACACACATTTAAGACCGCTATCATATCTAAAGAATTCGAATAGACATCAGCAGACAACGGGAATTTAATTTTCCAGTTAAATTCCATTTTAATTTCATGTCGAAACACTTGACATAATTAAAGTAAACCAAAGAAATAAGTCATCTTCATAGATACAAAAGGGGACATTACTCATACGCCACGGTGCAGCTCCCTTGTGACCATTATCTAACCAAAATCTTGGCTTCCTATGCTCCGCTATCAGCAGCCAACACAGCAGTGAAACCTAGAATAACAATAAGGCCTGAGCGAATGAACGCCCAAAGTACTGGTCTGTGATTAAATATTTATAGGCTGATAACAGCCAAATTGAAGTAGGCAGCGTAACAGAACAAAATTTGGAAATCTTGTGCAAACAATGAAATTAGTA